ATCTCTGTGATGTTGGGGGAGGAGGTGAGGGCAGCAAGCGCAGCACAGTGCTCAGCAGCAGGAGAGGATTGGGGAAGGAGTCGGTCTACTTGGCCAGTCAGAGCGGCGATCACTTCGCCTTCGGCATTGGTCTTTACCACTGCCCAGCCTGCCGTTTCAAAAACTTTGCTCCCTGGCTTCAGGGCCGAACCGTCAGAAGAAACCTTGCCCACTAGGGCGGAGGCTGGGGTAGCCTGGGGATCCGAGGACCAGAACTTCATGGATCCATGGCCGAGCCCTTCTGGGGGCCCTATGTCGAATTCTGGTTCGAGCTGAAAACCCGCGGCCAGCGGAAAACTTCCTGGGCTGGTGATACTGGCTATTTCTTCTTCTGTGAAACTTTCTTGCCGACGGGCCTCAGTCAGGGGGCAACTCAGGAGACGGTGGGGTAGGTCGCCCGAAGCCGCTCCACACAGGCATTCTCCTGTGTGTTCATCGTATCCTGCTGCTTTGAATCCACTCCTGGTCCAGATAGCGTGGCATGGGTAGGCCAACGACGTACTGCGTTCCATTGCTGATAAACTTGTTGATTTCAAGCATGTCTGAGCGATCTGGCAGTCTAGCTTGGCCCCGTCGAGGCCCATCTTCTCTGCAGCTTCCCGAAGGAGTTTGTTGTCCCACGAACGTTTGAGGGCTTCCTGAAGGAGGCTGGGTGAGGTGCTGGTGAGGATGTGCCGGTTGCCTTCGGGGTCCTGAACGACGAAGGGGGAGACGAAGGTCCTCTGGATCCGCTTGAGGCTGAGATATGCTGCTCCCATCGGGCCACGACAGCTGCTCCAAGCTGTTGGTGGTCTCGATAGCACCGCGTCGGCCATCTGCCTCAAACTTGGCAGGTTGAAGCCCGCAGTGGCTGAACCTGTGGCTGCATGCCAGACGAGCTGACTCCAAAGGAGAGCTGGGCCCACAGCTGGCCTCCAGCACGGGTCTCCCAAGAGGCAGAGCGAGAGGCTGCGAGAGCGGGTAGTGGTGCCTGGGCCCGCGATCTTGAGATAGAGCGACTGCGACCTGCGAAGCTCCACGTTATCGATCCCGACGACCTCGGACCCGTAGAAACGCGCCTGACCTAGTCCTGTGTTGTTCAATTTCCTGGTGTCTCCTGGGGCTCTCTTGAGGCTGGCCAGTCGTCTAGTTCTGGCCTGGAGCTTGTGGTGTCGGGCCCTCAGGGTCGATTTAGAGATTCCTCTAAGCCTAGCTCCTCCAGATCTGAAGTCGATGCCGAGGTTGGGGGCCACCGAGACCTTCTTGAGGGGGCCCGCGTACTTGCCTAGCTCCGACTCGAGGTTCTCCTGGATGTCTTTGGAAGAGGCGAGGACGACCGACTTCTTGTCTGCCACTTGGCAGTGCAACTCGTTCTTGATCGCGCCTAGGAGCTGGAAGCAGGCGTCTAGCAGCTTGCTCGCAAGCTTCTTCTTGCACGTGTGGAAAATCTGCAGCAAAATATCATCAATGAACAGGCTGAGCTGGATGCCAGGGTGCGCCGCAACCCAAGACTGGAGGGGCTGCTTGCAATAGATCTGCACTAAGTAAGTTGCGAAACCGCACCCTGCTGGGATGCCTTTCCCTGGGAACCCACAGTGCTGGATTAGTTGGTTAAGCGTGACGAACCTGCTGGACTGATACTGATTTACGAGAACTGCCAGCACCGCTTTGTTAAAATTGCTACTTGCTGCTCGTTGCTGAAGGTCCTTCCTGCTGATATGTTCATAGTAGTTAGACATATCCCATAGTACGGATGCTGCGTGCGTCGGTTCTTCTGCTAGGCATCCTTGCTCTGCAAGCAGAGATTGTTGAAACACCAGCTCTAGAATACTGCGGCCTGCTTGATGCGCCAGGAAACTGCAGGGGTTGTGCTTCTCCCAACTTCTGGCTTCGCTTTGACGCAACTTTGCCCAAACTCGGTAAACTCCAGGGAGGAGGCCAATTTCTCTATACGCTGGCCCACCAGTGGCCTTCAACTTCGGAATGAGATTAGTAATGATAGCCAGACTCTGGGAGGGCATCGTGCCAAGCTGCTCGATGCACGCCAGTAAGTCGATAAAAACCTGCAGCTGCTTGTCTGTCAGCAGCTCGAAATGCTTGGCGTGCACCCCGTCCCATGTCTGGCATGTCTGATGGCTGAAAGTCCTGACGGCTTTCCTGAGAAAGGATGGCGTGATGATCGGCCGCCTTGCCGTAGCCTCGGGATTTCCTGGGATTCTGGGGATGGGCGCGTCCTGGATGTCACAGAGGTCTGAGAGTCTTTCGGCCTCGCCCTCCAGGAGTTTACTTGGCCGTCCAGACCAGCGGCCATCTTTGGCCTTCACTTCTTGGGGTTGCCACGTGGTGTTGTCTTTGGACCATCTATGGGCCCACCCAACTCCTTTGGCCATCTGTTCGGTGGCCCACTGCTACCAGGAGGCGGTGGCGTGCTGTCTTTCCCGAGAGCGTTCCTGGTCGTGGAAACTGGATATCTCCTCTTGGAACTCTGAAGAGATGTGGGTGGCGCGTTGGCTGGACGCCTCGATGCCCTCCCGCCTGACGTCCTGCAAGAGGGCGTCGAGAAAGCGGCTGAACTTGGCGAGCAGGGCCTCCAGCTCCTGTGCTGACTGAAACTCATGTGGCGCGTCCTGCAAGGCTGACTGAACGTCTCGCAGACCTGCCGAGAGGCCGATGTGTAAACTTCGCAGCACGCCAATGACCCGATTATTTAGCCACCTGAGTGGCCTGGCGCATGACTGCCATCCTGCTCGATGCTTGGATTCTTCTGCTCTGGCTGAAATCCAAACGGTCCTGGGTGGCTGGCAAATCTTTCCTCGACTCCTGAGCGGCGCGTCGGTTTGCTGGGCGAGCGATTCTTCGAGGCCCAGGGCGAGCATATCGAACGCGGCGCTCGAAGCCTGGGTCTTCTGCTGCTCTGTGGCTCCTGGCTCCTGTATTATCTGCTGAAGCTGCTGTACTGCTGCTGCGGCTCTATTCCACTCCTTGGGCTCCTTGGAGGGTCCGAAAGGGGCGCTTGGTGGGGATCTTCTGTGGGCTTGGCCAGCCTGGGGATGAGGTGGTTATTGCTTATCACGAACTGGGCGACAACGGGCCTGTGGGGCGAGAGCGGGTAGTTAACCAGGACCTGTGCGCTGCTGACAGATTCTCCCAAGATTCTGCCGGCGACGAAGTAGTCCAGTTTAGATCTGCTTCCCTTGGTGAATAAGGTGGGCCCAGGCGAGTGGAGCAACTGAAATCCTCCTCGCTCGGCCAGGCTCGTCTTCTTGATGACTGACGGCGGCATATTAAAATCGCCTGCTGCAGATACTGGCATGATGTGGTGGCTATGCATCCAACCGATGGCTGCCAGCAGCTCGAGATTGCTCTGACTGAGGCCTGCTGAGTCCTCGAGGTAGAGGGAGAGCAGGATGAAGGGGGAGTGTCCTGGGAGTTCGAGAATAACTGCTGCGATCCTGCTGGGAGAGGCGGAAGGTGGGAGCGCTGCGGGTCGAACGCCCGCATCTAGACTTGCCCTGACAAGGATGGCAGTGCCTGACGTTGGCCGATTGTCTTCACTAGTGAAACTTGGTGAAATAACAGCGTGCCACCCTTCTTTTTGGCACCACTGCTTGGCATCTACTATGCGATCCCCTGAGATACGAGTCTCCTGACAGCATATTGCAATGGCAATCTTAGAGAATGACGACGAGACAAAACTTTTGACAGCTTCCCAACAGCTGCCATTCAAGGTGACTATTTGCATAGTCTGGCTAGATATTAGACCGATATTTGCCCATTGCTGCTGCTGCATATGCTGCTTGCTTGAGCTTCTTGGCTGCCTGGTCCCCTTGGTCCCCCGCGTCGATGGCGACGCGGCTTGCTCTCTCCAAGGCTGCTGCGCTTTCTGTCTGGCCCCTTGTGTGGGTCTGGCTTTGATCCATACCCTCTGCATGCTGGGGCTCTTTGACTGATGGGGCCTCTGCGGTGGCTGCTGAGGCTGCGGGCTCCACTGCTGCTGGGGCCCCTGCGGTGGCTGCTGAGGCAGGGGGAGCGGCGGCGGCGGGAGCGTCCCCGACTGGGACAGGAACGTTTGCTCCTGAGATGGGGAGCTTGCTCTCGCTGGCGGCTGTCCGAACTGCTTCTCCCTGGGGCTGCTGTTGCGGCTGCTGCTGCGGCTGCTGCTGCTGCTGCTGGTAGGCTGCAGAGAGGGACTTCTTCAGGGCCTGGATTTGTTCCTGGATCTGCGGAGGAACTCCCACGACTGGCCCATGCTGGAATTCTCCCACGAATCTGGCGACCTGCGGGAAGAAGGTGGAGGTTGCGGCTGGCGACTGCTGCGCCACCGCACGGATGGCGACCGCGAGCTGGCCCTCGAGCTGCTCCAGCTCGACGGTGGCGGCGACCTTGTCCGATTCCATGGCAACGACCTTGTCTGCCAGGGCGGAGATCTCGTCGACGTAGCCTTGGATCTGATCGGAGAACTTTTTGATTTTGCCTTGGGCGGCGGAGACCTGATCGCGAAGGGATTGACATTGCTGTTCCAAGGGCTTTCCTTGGAGGGCTGAGGACTTCGCTTGCTTGAGAGCAACCACGGCTTTGGCATAATTCTCTCCCCCCGTGCCCTCACGAATCTTCCAAAAACTGACAAGATCTGAATACACGGCGACAGGGTCGTCTGCACCTGCGGCTGACTCTGGGGGGGCTGCGGCGATGAACTCATGCTGTCCCTTCTCTTTGAAACGAGACCAACGGTTGCCTCGTCCCTGTTCGGTCCCATGGCGATCTCCCGTCGACTTGCCTCCTCCCCACTGGTATGAAGGCGGCTGTCCTGACTTGGTTTGCCCAGACTTGGGGAAAGTAGCGCCACACTGGGAACAGAATTTGTTGTTGCGGTCCGAATAGGACCAACCTTTGCAACCCTGACGAGAGCAACAGACCCACTGACGGAAGCTCTTTGATGGAGTCATGGCCTGTTGGCAGCGCCTGGGCTGCACAGGAGAGCGATGCAGATGGCGGCGCCTGCGGCCCGCCCGAGGAACTGAATGGTTGGATGCAAAATGTGGCAGCGCTGCCTGCCAGACTCGAGCGGAGATTGGGTAGTTCAGGAGCAGGCCCCTTGAGCCAAAAGGCTTGAGCCAAAATGGCTACGAGGGAGGAGGAAGAGGAGGAGGAGGAGGAGGAGGAGGAGGAGGAGGAGGAGGAGGAGGAGGAGGAGGAGACGCGTCGGCGGATGCCCAGGGTACGCGCGAGACCGGCCTCCCCGCCGTGCGGGGGCCCCCATCGGAGCCTCCTCGTTCGGAGGGCGCCACCCGGGCACGCGCACGCGGCCCTGGCCAGGCCGATCTGGCGCCCAGAATCGGCCCCCGGACATGCGACGTCCTTTTTTTCCATACGGGGGCCCCTGGAAGTCCCGCCCCTTTCCCCGGGACGGGTCTCTCATCCTGAGTCGTTTGTTGACGGCCCCGAGGCCCTTGCCTGATTTCTGTTACGACGCGCTCGTGTCTGGGTCTTGCGCCCAGGATCGCTCTGTGTGCCTTCCTGGACGAGGCCGCGACGCTGAAGCCCGGGCGCTGCCACGTCTTCGCACAGGCCGTGCTTTCGCCCGGCGGCGTGCCCTGGGCCCCTGCCTGGAGCAGGTGCAGCAGAAGGATGGGCTCTGGTCGTGCCCTCCCGCGGTGCTGCGTCTCAAACTGGTCCGCGGCGTGGGATCTCAGGCCCTGGGCCCCGCGGGGCCCCGCGCGCTGTCGCGAAGTTGCCAGCTGCCTGCGGCAAGTCCCGCCTCCGTGCGAGCCCAGAGTTCTGAGTGGCGACCGTTCGTGGGGGGTGGGGGGGCACGGGAGGCTGTCACGTGTCTCACCTCGTGTCTCCAGGCTTTGGGGAGCCGTGATGAGGATGATGGAAATTATGAGAATTATGTTGGGGATGATGATTCTGATAAAGATAATGATGATGATGCTGATGATGATGATGATGATGATGACGATGACGATGACGATGTTGATGAGGATGATGATAAAGATGATGGTCAGATGATGGTTAGAGGATGCTGATGCTGATGATTATTGTGATTGTGATAATGACGCTTAGTGTGATGCTGGTGATGCTGTTGATGATGATGATGATGATGATGATGATGATGATGATGATGATGATGATGGTGATGACGATGATGATGATGATGATGGTGATGATGATGATGATGATGGTGATGATGATGATGATGGTGATGGTGAGGGTGAGGGTATTGGTGATGCTGGTGGTGATGGTGATGGTGATCGTAGTGATGGAGATGAGGTGGATCATGATGCTGGTATGATGATGGTGATGCTGCTGTTTGTGATGCTGGTGATGCTGTCAAGTATGGCGATGGTTATGATGTTTGGAAATTATGGTGATTTCGATGATGACGACAACGATGACGATGACGACGACGATGACGATGACAATGGCGACGACGAAGACGATCCTGATGATAAGGATGATGGTGATGGTGCTGATGATGACGATGACGATGACGATGATGTTGATGATACTGATACTAATACTGATCATGATAATGATCATACTGATATAATGATGGTGGTTATGATGATGATGGTGATGCTGGAGGTTGTGATGGTGAGGACGACGACGAGACGGAGGAGGAGGAGGAGGAGCACCAGGAGGAGGCGAAAGAGGAGTGCCACAACATGTGACACCTCTCGCCTTCACGAATTGAGGAGCTTTCGTGAAACTCGTTTGGGGCGTCTTGGGTCTGTCTTGGCCTTTGTGAAGCAGTCTTGGGGGCCCCTTGGGGCTCTCTTGGACCGTCTGGGCCCACTTGTAGGCCCTCTTGGGGCTTTCTTGGAACATCTTGGGGCCATCTTGGCCGTATGATTGGCGTCTGGGGGCCTTCGTGGGGTCGACTTGGCGCCGACTGGGGGCAGTCGAAGGGCCTCCTAAGGCAGTCGACTCTCTCTTTGGAAGTTGGAAGCCATTTTGGCTCCGCGCCTGCCTTGGGCACGACCTGCCACCCGTCAGACGCTGCGAGGATGTTGTGGCCTCCTGCCAGGACGAGGCGGAGCGGGCCTGGCCTGGCTCTGGCCGCGCTGGTCGTCGGCGGCGCGACGGCTCCGCAGGCGCGCGCCGGAAGCCCCGTGGTGCCCATCCGCCAGGAGGACGCCCTGCCCGGCAGGGCCCAGGCCCTGCGCGTCAGCGACAGGCACTACGTGCTGGGCACGCCCATGAGGTGGGAACAGCCAGTGACGTGAACGGGAACTGTCGGAGGTGCGCGCGGAGTGCTCGGGCCGGCGCAGGGGATGCCTGGCGGCGCCGCCCCTGGGGCGCTCTGCACGCCAGGGAGGGCGGGGCCCAGCTCTTTGGATGCGATTCCTGGGAGGTCAAATGCTGACGTTTGCCCTGGTCCGAAATCTGGCCCCATCCCGCTGAATCTGTTTTCGTTCGGCTTGATCCCGCTTAATCTGCGGCCTGCTCCAGCGTAGCACCCCCCCCCCCCCACTGGGGCTGCATCCCAACTGGGGCGGCTGCATCCTCCTCACTCTCTCCGACGAAGACCTTCCAGTAGTTGCCTCATAGCAGCCGTGTCCCAAACAATCTCGGCGAACTTTCGAGAGTTCGTGCTTGCGTCGTGGCCTGCTCCTCGGCAACGAAGGGGGCCGTGGCCTCCCGGCCTCGAGGTCTTCGTCTTCGCCAACGGCTGCTTCTGGGGCAGCGAGAAGGGGATCTGGCGCCTGCCCGGCGGCGGGGTGCACTCGACCGCGGTGGGGTACGCCGCGGGCTTCACCCCGAACCCCACCTACGAGGAGGTGGTCTCGGGCGGCACGGGGGCCGCAGAGGCGGTGCAGGTGGTCTTCGACCCCAGGAAGATCGGCCTCGTGGACCTGCTGCGCTGGTTTTGGGAGGCATGCAGGGGAGGAGAGGGAGCACGAGGAGGAGGAGGGGCAGGACGAGGAGGGTGGGGAGGAGGAGCAGAGGTGTGGGGGAGAAGGAGGGCCAGTGGGCTTCTTGCAGGCGCACGACCCGACGCAGGGCATGGGGCAGGGAATGGATCGCGGCACGCAGTACAGGAGCGGCCTGTACTAGCCAGCTGCCTGCGGCAAGTCCCTCCACCGTGGCAGTGCAGCTCTCTGTGCAGGAACGCCTCGAGCACCGCCAAGAAGGCCGTAACGTGTGAAGCTTCTCGTCTTTCTCTTTCGTTGGGCCCCTCAAGGAACTACTTGGTTATTGCAGCATGGGCGCGTCTGTGGTGCGCTTGGCTGTGTTTCTCACGGCTAAGGCTGCATTGCAGCTGCCGGTTCTGTCCTCACGGCAAACAGTGTTTTGCAATTGGCGGTTGCCCTTTCTCCTTCCTCCCTCGGTGGGCAGGCAGGTTAGGCACCGCGATCATGGATTGGCGCCGCCGCCGGCTCGTTCTGCCTTTGCTGGCTGGTTGCCCGTTGGCGTCGCATGTGCTGGCTTGAAGCAAGGTCGCGCGCGCACCGACAGCGCCTCTGCGCTTCTGCATCACGCAGGCAGACAGCGGTCGGGGTGCAGGGTGCAGGGTGCAGCCATTGCAGCACGAAGCCAGCCCTCATCCGCCCTGTTTGCTTCGCGTTAAGCGCTGTGTCAGCGCTCCTGCCAGAGGCGCCGCTGGAGCAATCCCGTCGGAGCCCGTCCGGCGGCGCCTCGCCTCCCCACTCACCCGACGGCGGCGCGGGAGCGTCGGCCCGTCCGTGTGGCAGGAAGCGCCTGCATATATTCTCACAGGGTTTTCCGATGGCCGCCTCGGGTTCGAACATGCAAGTGGGTACTCCGAAGGGACGATGCTCGACTTCCTTGCGATCCACGCACGCAAGAGGACGCGTCCGAGACATCCTTCCAGACTGCTCAGGAACGCGGCTCCCGCTCGAGATGTCCTGTGGATCCAGTCCCGCAGGTATCACCAAACTTGAGGTTTTACATGATTTTCCGATGACCGCTTCAGATTCGAACATGGAGGTGGAGGCCCCTATAGGTAGGGGCTCTTGCTCGATACTTCTTCGCGGTTCACTCACAGACGAGGCTCCCGCTCGCGATTTACTCAATGTGAGTGCGTGAGTGTAAGCGGTGATGCTGATGATAAGATTGATGGTGACGATGATGATGTTGATGATGATCATGATGATGCTGATAATGATGACGATGCTGATGCTGATGATGATGAAGGTGATGCTGATAATGCTGCTGACGATGATGATCGTTAAGATGATGATTATGATGATGGTGGTGGTGGTGATGATGATGCTGATGATGATGATGTTGATTATGATGCTGCTGCTGATGCTGATGATGACGATGTTGATGATGCGGTTGATGCTACTGCTGATGTTTTTGCTGATGCTGATGATGACGACGATGATGGTGATGACGATGATGATGATGCTGATGATGATGGTGATGGTGATGGTGGTGGTGATGGTGGTGACGACGATGACGATGATGCTGCTGCTGATGATGATGCTGCTGATGATGATGGTGATGACGACGATGATGATGCTGATGATGCTGCAGCTGCTGCTGATGATGATGATGATGAGAATGATGAATATGATGATGATGATGATGATGATGATGATGATGATGATGATGATGATGATGATGATGATGATGATGATGATGATGAGTGAGTGAGTGAGTGAGTGAGTGAGTGAGTGAGTGAGTGAGTGAGTGAGTGAGTGAGTGAGTGTGCGTGAGTGAGTGGGTGAGGGAGGGAGGGGGGGAGCGGTTGGGTGGGTGTGAGGGCGGGTACGTGAGTGATGATGATCGTCATGATGAGTGTAGAAGGACGCGAAGGACGCGATGTGAGGAGGGGGGAGGAGGACTGTTACTGCGCAGGGGGTGTGAGGAGAAAGCAAGACCCCCACTTGAGATGTGGGGAAGAATCACACACCAATGTGTTCCATGAGATGTTTGAATGAGTTCGGCCCTCCTGGAGGGTGTCTCGGCCTCCTGGGGGCTGCTGGAGGTCTCTTGCGGATATGCGTGCCCGTCCGGGAGGTGTTGGTGGCCTGTCGCGGCTGCCTGGGGATCCTCGGAGTGCCCTGCAGAGCCCCAGGCACGAGCCGAGCCGCCCAGGAAGCCTCGGCAGAGGGGGCACGGTGCACGGGCGGGGGGTGTGCACGGGCGGGAGGGCTCCGACGATGCTCAGACACACCACCAGGCAGCACTTGGCAGCCCAACGCGCCTCCACGTGCCAGAGGGGCACGGCCGCGGACTTCGACGAGGGCCAGCGCGAGCTCTTCGAGGCCAGCCGGCGCGCGTACGAGGAGGCGTTGAGGGAGGCTGGCAAGGGCGGCGGGCCCGTCACCACCGAGATCCTGGCGGCGGCCGACTTCCCGCAGCTCTTCTACTACGCCGAGGACTGGCACCAGCAGTACCTGGCCAAGCCGGGCGCCAGGCCGTACTGCTCGGCGCAGCCGCTGCAGGTTCCACTGCCGCCCTTCGAGCGGTGGGGCACGCCAGCGCTGCTCGCCAACTTCAGCCAGCGCCTGCCGGAGGCATTCTGGAGCCAGCACGCCCCGAAGCCCCACGGCGTCGTGAAGGCGCCGACCGCGCCGATCGCCTGGAGCCCGGACCCCTCCGAGCTATGACGGCGGAGCACTCGCACTACCAGCGGCCCCCTTGCCTCGAAGAGGCGCAGCGGGGCAGGCGAGGCCCAGGCGAGGGCGCCCAGCGCCGTGACGCCCACGCTCGGAGCGCGCTGCCGCGCCGCGGGGGTCGTGCCGCCATGCCGCGCGGCGGCCACGTCCTGAACGCTGCACCGTGCCGTCCGCGCGCGGAGCGCGCTGCCGCGCCGCGGGGGTCGTGCCGCCATGCCGCGCGGCGGCGTCGTCCTCAGGGCGGCGCCGAGGGCGCCGCGCCGCCCACGCGCGCAGTGCTGGCGGCCGTGCCGCGGGGGCCGTCGGCCGTCGTGCTGCGCCGCCGCGGCGTGCTGCCCTTGCGCGGAGTGGCGACTTCGCGCCGCGGGGGGTCGTCGGCCCTGGTCGTGCCGAGCGGCGGCGGCGCCGAGGGCGCGGCGCCGCGGCGCCGTGCCGCCCGCGCGCGGCGCTGATCGGCGCTGCTCGCTGGCTCGCGGGCGGCCGCTCCGAGGGGTGGTTTGTCTCGGGGCGGCGCCGCGGCCGGTCGGCGCTGAGCGTCGAGCGCGCTGCGCCCGTGGGTGGCCGCGCTCGAGCTGAAGGAAAAGGCGGCGCGTCCGCGGAGGCGCCAGGGCAGGCGGGGGAGGAGGAGGAGGATGGCCATAAAGGAGGGGGCTCCCACGGGAGAGTCGAGGAAGCGAAGCGCAAGCATGGATGAATGTGCCTGGACCAGCGACGGGTCCCGCTTGGCGTGCGACGGGTCCCGCTTGTGGACTTAGCGCGCGATTCGCTTATACTAAGAGATAAGTGTGGAATATTCCCTGGCCCAAGACGACTCGCGCACGTGTCGGCATCAGACCAAACACAGGGTTTCTGCAAGCGTTTCGCCATAGAAACGTCAAATCCCACCCCATCCAGTTTCGCATGTCAAACTAATTGCAGGTGTTCTTCCCGCGCGCACTTTTTGGCTTCATGGAAACAGCCATGTGATTTACAGGATCTCGTCCAGTACTTGCCGTCCTATATCACTAAGCTTTGCATCCGCGTTGGCTCAGATTGCGCCCAGTGCAAAATTCCGTATCAAAGAACGCTGTGCGGACGACATGCGCGCGCCGCGTGGACTACTGGTTGTCAACCAACAGATCTACCAATGTGTACACATTTTTGTGCGCACACCGGCACATGGACATCAGCATCTCCATCGTCGTCACCCGGATCGGCCTCATCGTTGGCATTGCCGTCGTCATCATCATCAGCATCATTATCAGCACCGTCATCATCATCATCATCATCATCATCATCATCATCATCATCATCATCATCATCATCATCATCATCATCATCAGCATCGCCACCATAATCGTGATCATCTTCGTCATCAGCAGCATCATCATGATCATCAACATCATCATCATCGTCAGCATCAGCATCAGCATCAGCATCAGCATCATCATCATCATCATCATCATCATCATCATCATCACCATCATCATCATCATCATCATTGTTGCCGCTGCTGTCGACGTCGTCATGATGTCTCGCCTGCCCGAATCACTCACCCGCGATGAAGTGCCCGCGCGCCAGTGCGGCCCTTGAAACGTGCAAGAATCCAGCCAGCGTTTCTTTCCCAAAGCGGGTCGCTCCAGGCATACTTGGTGCTCAGTTGTCTCATCATATTGTTCCCTAGCAGGTAAATAGGGGGCCACATGCGAACCCGACCCCTACCCCCCACGATTTCTGAGAGGGTGGGTGGGGTTCACTTCGCTCGGGAGCTCCTAACGAAGTGAACCCCACCCTCCCCCTCAGACGTGGATAGACGTGGATAGAGTGGATAGACGTGGGCAGAGGTGGAGGAGGAGGAGGGGGAGGAGGAGGAGGAGGAGGAATGGGAGGAGGAGTAGGAGGGATGAGGAGGGAGGAGGAGGA